CCCCTCCTCCTCCTCCTCCTCCCCCCTCCCCACCTCCTCCTACGCGCGCGACGCCATCCCCCGCCAACTCGCCTCGCTCTTCATCATCGCCCTCTCCGCCGCCCTCGCCCTCTACTTCCTTTTCTGCACCCTCTCCTACTACTTTGTGTACGACCGCCGCCTCGAACACCACCCCAAGTTCCTGCCACGCCAGAAGCGCCAGGAGATCATCAGCTCCCTCATCGCCGCCCCCGTCATCGATGTCATGACCCTCCCGTGGTTCCTCGGCGAGGTGCGCGGCCACTCGAAGCTGTATAACCGCGTCGGCGAGTATGGATGGGCATACTTTGCTTTCTCGGCAGTGTGGTTTTTGGTGTTTACGGATTTCTTGATTTACTGGATCCACCGGTTGGAGGTGAGTCTCCGAGTGCCTCGCGCAGCGAGGCCCGAGGCGGCGGGAGCGTGAAGCGCTGCCAGAAAGTGCGCGCGAGGCGACAGCGAGCCACGGCAATAGTCCAGAGAGGACGCGGGGCGGCCACCGAAGAAGGCCCCGCAGCCTGTCCAGCCTCCAGGCTCAGTACCATGCTCATCCTGTTCCACGCTCCCGCTCCCTTCGCCTCTCCCCTGCCATGTCCCCCTAACCCCAGCACCACAAACTCGTCTACAAGCACGTCCACAAGCCGCACCACAAATGGATCGTCCCCACGCCCTACGCCGCGCTCGCGTTCCACCCGCTCGACGGCTATCTCCAGTCGCTGCCGTACCAGTGAGTGATGAGGGAGAGGGGGTGGGAGGTGGGAGGTGGGGAATGGTGGCGCGATCGTGATCGTGATCGTGATCGGCGGGCGTGTGGCGTCGGCGCGTGCGTCCTCGCGTCCCTTCTAAGATCCTCCGACTTTGCCGTCTCCGGGTCTCATACGCCGTCTGCGCTCCCCTCTCCGCTTGAGCCTACCCGTCGCGGCCCTCGGGGCTTCACGCCACTCGAAACCCCCCCCGCTCGCCCTCTCCGCTGCGGCCTCTCCCGTCGCGGGCCTCGCTCCGCTCGTCCCGCTTGCTCACCCCAGCATCTTCGTCTACCTCTTTCCCATGCACCGCCTGCTCTACCTCGGCATGTTTGGCTTCGTGCAGTTCTGGACGATCTTGATCCACGACGGCGACATGATCTCGGGCCACCTCCTCGAGCGCTTCATCAACTCGCCGGCCCACCACACGCTGCACCACCTCTACTTCACCTGCAACTACGGGCAGTACTTTACGTGGGCGGACAAGACGTTTGACAGCCACCGCGATCCCATGCCCGAGCTCGACCCCATCCACGAGAGCTTGAAGGCTATGCGCGCAAAGGGGCTGTTGGGCAAGAAGACTGATTGACCTGCTCAGCTCAGGCTTATGCTCAGGCTCATGCTCACGCTCGGGCTGGGCAGAGGCCCGGCTAGAGGCCCGGCCAGCCCATGGGCCCGAGCACTTATACTAGATGCACCGATAATGTACAATTTGCAGCGCGTACAACTCTATCAGTTCATCCGCTCAAAGCACTCGGTACAGTACGCCTTGCCGTCGCGCGGGAAGAACAGGTTGTTCGCGAACGGGTGGGTGCAAGTCTGGAGTCAGCCTCCGTGTCCGTCGCCTTCCGCTCGTGCCCGCGCCCACGCCCACGCCCGCGCCCGCGCCCGCGCCCACGTCCGCGCCCCGCACTCACCGCACACACAAAACACCCCGTGTGCCACTTGGCCCCCATAGCCGAGACCGCGACGTCGGGGATCGGCGCGCGGCACGCCTTGCACCGCGGCTTGTGCAGCCGCACATGGCAGCGCTCGCAGTAGGGATGGCCCTTGTGTATGACAAAGTCGCTCGTCTCGTCCGCGCCCTCGGCGTTGTGCTCTGTGCCCGCGGCGCTGCTCTTGCTGGGGTCGAGGAAGGGGTCGCCGCACTCGGAGCAGAAAAAGTGCAGCTCGTGATAATAGCGCACGCCGAGCTCGTTGTCGAGCGTGATGAAGCGCGCGTCGACAATCGGCGTCCGGCAGTGGTGGCACTTGTGCGCGAAGCGCTGCCGTTAGTGCGCCCAAGCGGGACTTACGTCGTGGTAGTCGAGGTGGCAGTAGGGCTTGCCGTCGTGCTCGTATGCGCTGACGTGTTCGAGCGCGCCGCCGCACTCCCCGCACTGGAAGCAGGGGGGGTGCCACCGCCGCCCCATGGCGCTTACGATGCGGCCGATGATCGGGTGTGTGCAGCCCGCGCAGAGGATGGCGGCTGTCGGCTCGATCCGGCTCGGGCCGCGGGTGTTCGCGTCACGCGTGTCGCCCGATTCGACTTCGATCGTGGGCACGCCCGAGAAGGCGACACCGGGCGGGCTGGGCGGCGGGAGGCGAGGGCTGGCGTCGACGATGATTGATGGCCCGGCGGGAAGAGGTGCGACGGTGATCGTGGGCGTTGAGGGTGTGGGTGGCGAGCCGACGCTGATGGACGGAATGGGAGTGTTGGTGGTCGGGGGCGAGCCGACGGAGATTGTGGGCACGATTGGCGGAGACGCCACGCTGATGCTGGGGCTGGGGGTGTGGATCGTAGGTGGCGAGCCGACCGAGATCGTTGGCACAGCTGGCGGAGAGCCCACACTGATGGAAGGGATGGGGGTGGTGGTGGGCGGAGAACCGACAGATATCGTAGGCACGGCTGGCGGCACAATGCTGGGAATCACATCGCCGACCTGGATCGGCCCGCTGGGCGGCGACGCGACAGTGGTACTGTGGCTCGGCATGCCTCGTCGCGGTACGCGACTCGGCACGACGCCGCCGACACTCACGGCCGCCATGCGGTGCGCGAGCTGCTCCGCGCTCTCCTCTTGGATGGGTGATGAGCGTCGCAGCCCCGATCTTTCGCGCGGCGCAGGCCCGCGGTCCAGAGACTTGCTGGGAGACACGCCGACGGGCGGACGCGGCAGCGCGCGCTTCATGCCTACGCCGCGGTCCAGGGATTTGACGGAGGAGATGGTGTCGGAGCGCTCGACTAGGGCCTCAGTTGGCTTCGGGCGCGGAAGCATGCGCGTGACGGGCGAGATGGGCGGTGTCGAGGTCACGGGCGAGTCCACCTGCGGCGGGATCGGTACGATCGGCGGCGAGGGCGAGGTTGGGGTGACGACGGGGACGGGCGGAGCCGACGTGGTGCGTGTTGGCTGGCTGTCGGGGACCACGATCGCAGGCGGTGTAGGGGAGGTTGGGCCCCGCGAACTTGGAACGATGATCTGTGGTGGCGCAGGCGGGGCTGGTAGCGCTGAGCGTGGCACCATCCGTGAGAGTGGCGGCGCTGTAGAAGCTGAGGCTGGCTTCTGTATCTGCGCTGGCGAGTTGCTGCGCGGAGACGGTGAGGGCGGAACGTTAGTCGACATCCCGGTCATTTGAGGCTGCATCCTGGGAGGGGGAAGTGGCCGTCCGCCTCCGACACCGCCACGCGCCATCATCGCTATTGCGGCAGGCGACGCTCCGCTCATCTGGCCAGGCGCAATCGAGTACGGGGCAGGCGAGGCGCTTCGCGATGGGGTAGGCGATGACGGCAGCGGGTGCTGACTGGAATACGGGAGCGCAGCCTGGCGCAGCGGCGTCGGCACGCCCTGCTGATGAGTGGGTTGCTGATAGCCGTGGGCTGGAGACGCGGGTGACGGCGGGAGAGGTGCATTGGGCCGAGCAGGCGGAGTAGGAGGCGGCGTACCTGCGGCAGCCCTCAGCGCCGCCTCGCGCTCCCGCTTGCGCTCTTGGAAAGTCTTGAAGACGGGTCCCTGGTACTCGACGCGCTGGATGGGGGCGGGAATGGCGAGGGGGTTCGGCGGAGGCGCTGGGGGCTGGAAGGAGAACGAGGTAGGTTGGGGTTGTAGGGGCTGTGGTGCGTACGTGTTGGTGTGTTGGGGCTGGAGAGGGTATGGCTGCTGCTGCTGGTGGTGGTAGTGATGTGTGGAGTGGTACTGCTGTTGATGTTGAGGATGATAGTGAGCGTGATGCTGGGGGTGCTGGGGGTGTTGGGGGTGCTGGGGTAGCTGGGGGTGCTGAGGAGGAGGTTGCGGGTGTTGGGGAGCGTATTGGGGATGAAGAGGAGGCTGTGAGGGATGCGGCGGAGTCGCGTACGAGTATTGCTGAGGCTGGGCGCCGGAGGGCTGCGAGGAGGCTGGGTAGCCGTGGGGGGGTGGACCGTAGGTCATTGGCGCTGGTTTGGGGAGTGAAGCTGGTGTCAACTGAGGCGGAGTGGATGGCGATGGCGTACGGTTTTGAATCATGTCTTGAGGTGCGAGTGATGGCGATGGAGATGCGAGAGGTCGCGATCAAGATGAGGATCAAGACGAATGTGAGGGGTGTTTGCGAAGGCTTGTTGACATCGCCTGGCCCCACTGATTTGATCCCGCCCTCGACGTCGAACCACATCTCGCATGCCCCCCCCCCCCCCCCCCCCTCTGCAGGCCTCGTCTGGACTTGTTTGTGTACACGATCCTATGTTCCTCCGCGTCGCACGGAGCCATGCATGCATTGCGGTAGGAAGCAAAGGGTCGCTCCAGTGAGGGGTTGAGACTGACGACAGGGGTGTTGTGATGATTTCTCAACATTACAGGCACGAAAAGTAGTCGCGTCGACGCTTATTCGCTCCTCCTCCCACTCCATCCATCCACCATCCCCAACGCTGAAGCGAGCAATGAGGCCAAGGGAGCGACCAGCGACCCAAGTGCGACGCGCTTCGCGTATCGGGCCACATCACAGGCGAGGGCAACACGCCTGTGCGTGCTGCGCGCTGTGCTTCGCGGCACTGGTCGGGAGTCGGATCGAGGGTGCGCCTGTGCGGGGTGCGCGTTGGGTGTCAGGAGGCTTCTCACCACCGGCATTGGGCACTCTCCACACTATCAGGATTTATAAACTCAACAGCGAGTCGATTGAGCAGAGGAATACGTTGTTTTGCTTGTCGAGTTGCGTACTCGTCGCCGTGGAGGGCACTTGGGCCCAACTGATCATATCGGTGATCGACGAGGTATTCTCTACGTCGAACGGCGGGAGGCGGCGTTTTGCGAGGGGGCTTCAGACATGCATCGATCAAGTGGAGCGAGGTGATGATGAGCGATGGTGAGTGATGATGAGCGACGGAGAGTGAGAGTGAGGTCGTGAGGGGGGTGCCTTGACGACGGTTGTCCGCAAGGCGATGACGATGGAACCAAAGTGACGAGGGGTCCAGGCGCAGAGGCCAGTGGGGTGGTGGGTGTCATTTCGCCATTCTCATCATCCTCCTCATCATCCTCTCCATCCTCCTCTTCATCTTGCATCCATCATACCCTTCTTGCAGCACTAGTCTCTCTCTCCGACACTCCCACACCCACACACCCACACACCCCTCCCCCTCCCCCTCTCCTCTCCTTTCCTCTCTCTCCCTCTCTCCCACCCTCCCTGCCCCTCCCCTCTCCCCCCTCCTCTCCTCCATGACCGGCCAGAACGCGGGCCCCGTGCGCCTCCTCCTCCGCGCTCCACCCCATCTCCCCTTCGTCCAGAGCTACCCAGGTATCATCCCCGGCGGTGGTCGCCCCGCCGCCACCGTACAGGGCACAGTCGAGGTCCGCACCTCGGCCGTCAAGGCCAAATGGGTTCGCGTCGAGATCAGGAAGCATGAGAGCGTACCCTCCAGCGTTATCGGCAAAGGCTCAGGCCAGAGCTCAACCGTCCACGTCGGCTCCCCCCATCTGCTGTGGAAGCCTCCCGAGGGCAAGGAGTTCGACACGCTCAGCACCGCCGACTTTCGCTTTTGCATTCCGTTCCCAGGCGATGCCCCTCCCACCACCGAGCTGAGGGGGTGCAAGATCTCATACGAGCTCATTGCCGCCGTCTGTTACAAAGGAAAGGGTGGTCTCTTCAAGAAGGACTCGTCCTCCATCGCCACGGTCAATGAGCCCATTAGCATTATCAAGTATGAGCTGGCCAGCGCCTGGCCCGCCTACAACCAGCTCGAGCAGCGGACTGCCAGTGCTCTCAACGGCGCCGTGAGCCTCGTCGTCGACAGGCCGATCCAAGCCTTTGGACCTGGCGACCGCATCGTCGTGACCGCTACAATGAAGAGCGAGGCGCAGAATCAATTCCGTCTCAAAGGCTTTGAGATGGCCCTCGTCGAGATACTCACCGTTCATCCACCCAAACCAGACCCCAAGAAGAAGGCTAAGCCCCCCTCACCCCCAGTCATCAGGCGGCAGCCCGTGTGCACCACCCGCGTCGTCGCCGACGGCCAGGTGATCCCGGGCGGCGAGCGCGGCGCAAGACTCGATCTCGTTGTGCCCCAGGACAGGCAACTATTGACTGTGCGCGGCGCCAAAGAGTTTCAAGTCGAATACGAGCTCGTCGTCGAGGCCACATGTGACGGCGGACCAAGCAAGGTCCTTCTCGGCGGCCTTCAATGTATTATTGGGACGTTCGCGCGCTCCTCCGCGCAGACCGCAGTCAAGTGAGTTCTCCCCCCTCTCCTCCCCGTCATCTCTTTTCCCCTACTCCCCACTCGCCCACCTACTCCCCCTCCCCCCCCCCCCCCCCCCCCCCCCCCCCCCCCCCCCCCCCCCCCCCCCCCCCCCCCTCTCCTTTCCCTTCATCAGCCCGCTGACGCATAGAGAAATTGGCTTCGTGCAAGGTCTCTGCCCTAGACCCCCACCGGGCACCGGCCATCAGCCCTCCTCATCCATCCCGGGTTCCGTGACGGGTAGCTCGAAGACGGGGTCACAGGACAACCACCACCCCGCTCTCACTCCGCCGCTTCGAGGTCACCAAACAAGCATGTCAGCCGACGGCTTCCTCACCGCTGAGCCCTCGTCATACTTTAGGCCCCTATCAATGAACCCGCCACCAAAGGTGTTCAACACGCCGTCCCCGCCGCCCCCCCTGCCGCCGCTCCAGCAAGGATACCAGGTGCCGCCGCTGACGTACCAGCAGCCGCCTTACCAGCAGCAGCAACCGCCTTACCAACAGCAGCAACCGCCTTACCAACAACAGCAGCAACCTGCCGATCATCAGCAGCAGCTGCAGACACCATTTGAGCAGCAGCCGCCATATCAACAGCAGCAGCAGCAGCAGCCCAATGCCTATCAGCCTCAGATTCCTGTTGGGCAACAGTGGCCAATGCAAGGCTTCGTGCCGCGGCAAACAGAATGGCGACGAACTTCATCTGGCACAACGACCACCACTACAACCACGTTCACGGACCATGGCCCCATCCCCGAGCGCAACGTCGCGACCATGCCCGCGCGCCTTAGTCAGAACTATCCGTCCACTCCTCCGCACCGCGTTTCCGACGCCGCCTTTGGCCCGTTGGAGGAGGAGTCTCTGTATGAGCGCCCACAATCTGAGATTTCCAATAATCGCTTCTCCGCCGCCTCACCGGGCACTGGCACGTTTGGGCAATGGAACTTGGCAGCCGTCGACCGCACTGTTCACTCGTCCTCGCCTACTACAACCATGACAACGGTGGATGACACCTCGGTCAACCAGCATACGGCGCGGCCCGAGAGCGTCAACTCCACTCCGACGCGGGCGGCACCGGGATGGAGTACAGCCGCCAACGAAAAGCGGCGCCTCTATGAGGAAGCTCGAAACCGCGCCGCCAACACTCAGGCCATGCATGGTACGGTTTTGTCTAGTATCGGAATGGAGGCAGACGGCTCTACCGCACCACCAGAGTACACGCCGCCGCCCCAGTCGGCTACTCCGATTCGGAATATACAGGCCCAGTCGCCCTTGCACGACAGCCCGCAGTCGATACACTCGGGCCACCAGCCACATCAAACCATCAGAGTTTTGACAGCTCCGAGCCCTCCCGTCCAGACCAACGGCTCGGCCGCCCCGGCGCCGCCATCGGAGGACCCTATCCCGTATGAGGCGCTTTTCGCCTCATCTAGCTCACCTGGCCCGTCGACCGACAAAGCTCCCGCCCCGTTGAGCCGAAGATCATCACCGGCTGCGTATATGACTGCGACCCAGGAAAAAGACCTTATGCGACAGCGGTACGAGGAAGCCCAGGCTGGCGTTTCGCGCTACTCTGCTCTACCTAACGGGCACTCGCCGCCGCCATCGTCCACCCAGAGTCCACACAGCGTTCAGCAGCAGTTCACTGGCACGGGTGCCGAGGGAGACGCGACGAGGAGGCAGTCTGAGGAAAGGGCCAGGGGCAACAGATCGGTGAGCGTAACCGCTGCCACTGTCCCGAGCCCCGGAGCGTCGTCTCAGGCGTCGCCCAGGTCTCCGCAGATGCAGCAGGCGTACATGTCTGCTGCAGAAGAGAAGGCTTTGATGCGCAAGCGATACGAGGAGGCCACCAATGCCGTCAATCGCGCGGCCGCCCCTGGATCGCCCATCCCCAGCACGTCCACTCAACCTGGACCGGCCAATTCCGGCTCACTCCAGGCCGCTCCTCAGACCATCCCCGCCGCTTACATGACGGCAGCCGAGGAGAAGGAGATGATGCGCAAACGGTATGAGGAAGCTACGGGCGCCGTAAACCGCGCCGCCAACAGCGGACCATCATCCCAAGCGAGCCCAACAACGCCACAGACATCCACCATGGCGCAGGTCTCAAGCATTGGGCATTCTTCCACTGTACCGCAGTCCCAGAGAGGCCCTTCCACCGCATCACCAACATTGCCAGCGGCGTACATGAGCGCAGCTGAAGAGAAGGAGGTGATGCGCCGGCGCTTTGAGGAGGCAACAAGTGCCGTCAACCGCGCCGCGGCGACGTCATCTGGCGCTGGCCCCTCTAGCTCGGTTGTCCAAACAAGTCCCCAATCGAATACCCAACATCGTTCCTCAACCCCTGCGGCTTATATGACTGCGGCGGATGAAAAGGAGATGATGCGCAAGCGTTATGAGCATGCGACTAGCGCGGTCAACCGTGCAAATCAGTCGTCGCCGTTGTCGAGTCCGCAGCGAGCTCAATCGATGTACTCGCAGCAGCAAGCTGGCGCCACCGCTGCATCGTCATCCTCCACGGGGCCATCAAACATACCGGCGGTATACATGAGTGCAACACAGGAGAAGGAGATGATGCGGAAACGGTACGAGGAGGCTACGAGCGCGGTTGCCCGAGCAGCGGAGGCTGGTCCTTCGTCTGCCCCAGTTGCAGCCGAGCCCTCGTCTTCCTTCACTACTGCTGCTGCACTGCCGCCACCATCGGACCAGCCGATTCCATATGACCAGCTGTTCGGTCCGCCCCCTGCGGGTGCATTGGGACCCTCGGGTTCGTCGTCGTCATCGCAAGGGCCACAAGCGTCGGTACCGGGGTCGGCTGAGAATGGTGGGATGCGGGAGTGGGGATTGAGAGACGAGGAGGCGACGATGAAGGGAGGGCACGGAGGGTCGCGGTCAAGCATGGGAGCAAGCGCACCGCAGCGGTCAATGACGCTACGGGAGCGAATGATGTCTGCGCTGCCGGACGGACCGCCGCCGCCACTTGCGCCTCGACCACCGCGTGAGTATGTGGAGATGCTGCAGCACCGGAATGCATAGGCCTTGTAGAGGAGAGAGGATGAGTAGTAGTAGTATTAGCTTTAATGATGGATGGTGATCGACGGCGGTATGGCACCATGCCACAAGGGGAGGAGAGGGGAGGGGGGAGGCACGGATTGGTCCGAGGGAGGGCGGAAGCAAATTGAAGGAGACGGAGGGGAGGAGGCGCACTGGGTGGGCCCTGGCTCGGTCTCACACCAGTCGTTGGCTCCTTCCTCGTCCGTCCTCATCATCATCCATCTCTCTCATCTCTCTTTCTCATCCTCCTCCATCTCGCCATCATCCTCCGTCCCTCCTCCGTCCCTCCTCCCTCCGACGCCATCAACGCATGCACTCCCCCTCGCGCCACCTCTCCATCCATCCCCATCTCCGTTGACGGCGGTGCCCGTGCCGCCGTCCACCTTCTCCTCCCTCCTCTCATCTCCTCTTTCCTCGTCCTCTTCTCACTCCTCCATCACAAACTCGCAGCCCTCTCCAGCCTCATCGCCTCGTTGCCTCGCTCGCTGCCTCTCTAACACGCCCACGCCCACAGTCACGGCCACAGCAGCCCCAGGACAACAGCCCATCGGCCATCGCCCACTACTCGCGTCCGATCGCTGCACGTCAACCCACACCCATAACAAACGCCCTCTAGCTTTGCATCTGCCAAGCGGACTCTCTCGACGTCGACACGTCGTGAACGCAAACACCAACAACCAGGAGCCAAGATTCAACCCCGGTATTGTATCAACCCGCCTTCTCGACTACATTCCCTCCCCATCCCTCGCCGTCTATCCAGCACTGTCGGCACGCACCCGTGGACTCGCCTCCACGCTCAA